TTCCAGACCTACCGCTAAACCAAACAGAAACCACATCAATTACAAATGAAGTTGCCAATAGCAACAACCAAGCATCCGTCTAGCATTTGCAAGGTCTCCGAGATCATAGGCACGCAAAAGATTCCGTCAGTGTATTCAGCCAAGGTCTTCACAATTGGACTGACACATGGAGTAGCACACTTCACAACAGGACGCTCTGATGAATCTTTGTGAAGCCAAAGCTTTTGTTCTTGGTTATGTAAAAGCCAGTGCATGTATCTCTCCAAAGGGTCAACCACCACCACAGATAAAAAGGTCTCTGCAACGCTCTCCGGTCTCTCAATGAAAAGACAGCTCTTCTTTGCCCTAACACCTTCAATCTTCCCAGGTCCCACATCTGGAACCATGAATGCAGCACCAGGGTCGGCTGAAGAGGAAGGAGTGTCTCCTGCTGCAACAATCTCCTGCTGCAACAATTGTACCAAGTCTGTCATACTGGTCCCATGAATGTTCTTCTTCTTGGCTGTTCTGAACATAGCACAATAGCAGCGTGGTAGAATGGAGTGGCAGGCAAATCCTGTCCTTGCACCGACCAAGTGTACATGTATGAACCAGCAAGTGAAAGTGAAACATTGGATGAAACCCCGCCGCCGATAACTGTGATGGATGAGAGTTGGAATTTTGTGTGTTTCTTTTGTGGATGGTCCTAGATCATTCATTCAGCTTAACTTTATATTATATTATCTTTACTTGATTGTTGCTCAATTGATTCAACCCACAAATAATCAGGCAAGAATCAAGAACCACCGGGCAGTCCGTGAACACTTCAACCATCTTGACAATGCAGGGACGCCAGGCTTACTGGCCAACACTACCTCAACAAAGAGATTGGCAGCCTGTTCCGCCAGCTGATGTTGCGGAAGGCCTCCACATGGGCAACCCATTGTACAATGATGCCATAGAGACGACGGGCTTTTCCAGTTCGAATTGAATATGGCCAAGAACATGTCTACCTTCTGTTGCAATAAAGACATCTTCTTTGTATTGGTCATGTTGCCTGACTCATCTAAACAATACTTCAGCTTTGCAATCCGGACAGACATAGTCATATCCAAGATCTTCTTGGCATACTTTATGTGCTCTGGGTTGCTGGGTGTGTAGACCACCTTCATGTTCTTTCTGATGTACTCCGCGCAGTGTACAACTAGATCATAAAATGTTGATCCATATCCCAAGACTCTGCACGTGCAAAACCTTACAGTGGGAACCCCGACCCTCTCAAGCTGACTCCTGAACAACGAACTACCGCCACGGGCCACAAACAAAAAAAATTGAATTCAATCAATCAAGCCACAGTGGGTTGATGTTCATACCTCTCCAGACGTCTTCAACGCAATGATGAGACTCATGCCTGAGCAAGGAACCCAAAGATTGCATGACTCATAGCCTCATAGTCGTTATGGTTTAATTTCAGGGTTAGGACTCAACCATCAGCATTTTGCCAAGAAGCGCGTTGCAAGGGTGGTGGGTCAAAAGGCTGTTGCCAGGCAAATTCCTGGATATGTATCTGACCATCTTCATGTTTGCTGGCGCGCAGTCTGAGCAGAAAGCTAGGACAAAGATATCTGCTGTTTGGCACCAGCCTGAAGCATGTCACTTCTATTTATTCTGTTGGGGTCACTTGATATGTTCCTGACTCTGATGTTACTTCACGTCGCATGCGGTTTCATTAATCTTTCGTGAATTGATTTTTTTTATAAAACAAGCTCCGCTCATACTGTCTTGACCACAGTCACAGTCACACATGTCACATGCCGACATACATATCACATACT